TTCGCCAGCATCTTTCGTCTTGAGATTGTGCAATTGTTCAGCGTAAGAATCTTCTTGATTTCGAGTTTGCCTTTTTGATATAGAGAACTTATTATATGCAGTTCATGATAACTGTCTGCGAATTAATTTTCTCTTGAGAATTCCTCTAGCTCGTTGAGCCAAATAAAATGTTGCACTAAGAGTTCTTTTTATATTCCTTCTAATCATAATTCTGGGCTCATAATCTGTTGAGGGGAGGTACCCCAATAAACGCACAGAAAAAGGATCGAGTAGATAGTAGTATAAAGTACGTCTGTTTTGTTTCGTAGTTTATCCGCAAGAAACCAATATTAACATAAAGCTTCTGGTGCTTTATGCGGCTTTATTCAAATACTGATTCGTCTATCATCATCACTATTCTTACATTCTAAACGTAATAATGAGAAAACTTCAAGATGCCGATTTTGGAGAAGATATCGTGAAAAGCGAACAATTTTTTTTTTCGCTTTCATAGAACTTAATTTTCGATCGATATATTGGTCTAATCCAACTGGTCCCGAGATGTGTACTGCATGCAACAAAAAATGGGACTTCTGCTGTGTTCCATAAAGATAAAACTGCGAGACTAGTTCAAAAAAAAATTACAATACCCTCTGCAAGGGTATTAAACAATCTAGCATCCGAACGCCGCGTCATTTTTAGTTTCTCCGTCTGTTTTGACGATATTGCACCATTGATTAATATATGAAAGACGTGAAAAAACCATTCCCTCTACAGTACAGGCATTTTCATCACAATGATCTCACTGCAACGCTCGAGCTCGATTGCTTGCGATAAAAGTATATATCATTTTTATACCCTGAACCCATTACAAATGGATATAAGGGTATATTGTATTTATGCAAAATCCAAATGTATGTAACAGGCAAAAGGAAGCATCTCCGACCCCATAAAGTATATATATTCTTGATCAGCATCAATAGCCGAGTCAATCTAGCCATGTCCGTCTGTCTGTCCGTCCGTCCGTCCGTCCGTCCGTCCGTATGTATGAACGCAAGGATCTCAGAACCTATAAGAGCTAACGACTTAAAATTATAGATTAAGATGCTCCTAGTTCCCGCGCAGATCGAGTTTGTTCCGATAATCGATAACTTACTCCGTTTCCAAGCAATCGATAAAAATCGATATAGATATCCTGTTTTTTGTGCAATTTTGGTAAATAATAAGAGCTAGAGTCAACAAACTTGACATATAGCTTCTAAAATAGAATATATATATGCATTTGATGTTGGAAGAAGAGGGTTCAGGGTATACCCTAGTCGGGAGCTTCCGACTAGAACCTGTTACTTGTTTAGTGTGTCTTTATGGGCCTCACTTCTGATTGGGCAAAAGATTTTCTGCTCAATTTTACATAAATTGTTTCGATAATATAATATATCTATATATTTTAAAATTATTGCTGGTGTCTGCTGTTCCTGTTCTTCCGCGTCAGCTGGTCATCACCAGTATGGTTGCGCTGACGCTCCCTTCGAAGGCTCAAGGGGCTGGGGTGCCTCTCGCGCTTGTTGATTTCTTAGCTGCTGTTGTCCTGGGCCTGGGAGGTGGTGTGGTTATAGTTTTGTCATTAACAACTTTAATATTCACTGAGTGAGTATGTGGTGTAAGGTTTTCTTTTATCTATTTCAGCTGTTGCTGATAAAAGTCAAGCATGGCCTGTAGCCTTGCTGTTGCTTTCCACGGTGTTTTGGCTTTGGGTGAATATAATTGCCACCACAACACTCACTACACTCTACTCACTCAGCTTTTTTGTTTTGTTTTTTTTTTTTTTTTTTTGTTCCGCCTTTGCTTGTTGTTGTTGCCTCCTTCGTCCTCTTCAATAGTTACAGTACATACAGCGGTTCGATCAGCTAAAACAGGAGCTGATCCTGTCCTGTTACGGTCGCCATATAATAGTTCCCTGATGAAAAGACGTCAGTCTTCCTTGATGGTTCTTTATTCAATGTTTTTTTGGAGTTAGAGCTGTCCACCGTGAAGCAGTGAGCAGCCGTTTTACATACATGGTTTTTAGGCTTATTATATACAGCAAGAGAGTCAGAGAGTCATGCGCGCACATATGTATACACAGCGACGGTCAAGCGTGAGAACGCTGACTTAGCTATTTTATTTATTTATTTTTTTATTAATGGTCGACAAAACGAGTGTCTTCCTCATTATTCAAAAGATTGTACAATATAAGAAAGATATACAATATATGCTACAAGCCTTGTTAAAGGATACAATTTTCTAAATACCATCACCGACCGATGGAGGTGTTTTATTTGCCAGTCCGGCCAGTTGTGCCCCTTTTCACAGCTAATTTTGTCAGTGACGCTATTAGAGCCTACATCTAAGCAGAAGGTTGTAAGTAGGAAAAAAGTGATCTCAAGTAAAATTAAAAATAATCTTAATTTGCTATATTAATAAAGAAAATACAATAAATAGGAAAAAAGAAAGTAAGAAAATTGTAAGTAAAGTAAAGCAATGTAAGTTAGATAAAGAGTGTTAAGTAGATAGGACAAAGAGAAAAGTAATGGAGGTGTTTTATTTGCCAGTCCGGCTAGCTGTGCCCCTTTTCACAGCTAATTTTGTCGGTGACGCTATTAGAGCCTACATCTAAGCAGAAGTAGGTAAAAAGTGATCTCAAGTAAAATTAAAAATAATCTTAATTTGCTATATTAATAAAGAAAATACAATAAATAGGGGGAAAATTTTTCAGCCTGTCCGGCTAGCTATGCCCCTGCTCATAGTTGGGAATGGTCAGCGACTTCCCGAAGGTATCCTGAAAGCAACGATTTTATTAGGGGTAGAGACAGTTCGGTAGCGAAAACGTGATGCAAACTATTATAATTTTTACATAGCACGCGAAAAGGATTGTGCATAGCGTAGTATGTTGTGCACATAGATAGAAATAAGGGTTGGTCTAGCCGGAACAGAGAATTGAAGACGCCCTAGCAGAAAAGGAGAATCTATGTCACCGATAATCAACTTATGTAGAAGGACAACACCGAGAATTGTCCTACGGTTGGTTAACGACGGAAGGTTGAGAAGAAGCAGTCTGCTGGAGTAGGATGGCAACCGAAGATTAAGGTCTCAATTTAAACCTCGTAAGGCAAAAAGCAGAAATTGCTTCTGAACAGATTCAATACGATCCTGGCTGTTGTTATACTGTGGAGACCAGATGCAAGAGCAGTATTCAAGGATAGGGCGAACAAGAGAGGTACACCTTTTGCAGCATTAACAATGGTATCTATGTGAAGATTGAAACAGAGCTTAGAATCAAAAATAACGCCTAGACCCTTAACTGTTAGTATACGTTGCAAAGGGATATTGTCGATTGTATAACTGACAAATCCAAATGTATGTAACAGGCAGAAGGAAGCATCTCCGACCCCATAAAGTATATTAAGACGTCGTCCTCTCCTGCCGTCACTTTGCTGATCAGCCTCTGTAGGGACGGCAAATTGTCCTCGGCGAAGACCATCAGCACTTTCATGATGAAGTTTAGCAAGCAATGGTGCCACTTGCACGAGCACATAGTCCTTTGACCATCGAAACTAAAACAATTTCTCGAGTAATGAGACAGCTCCGGCTGGTCCGGAGCCGCCTCTACTTGCAAAGCCTCCAATGAGCCTTCCACCAGTAAGTGGCCAGCGTTAGAGCCTTGCATCGCTTATGTGTTATTGCTCCCAGGGGCCTAGAATTGAGCACGGCTTCCACTGCGACTGCAGCTCCTCGGCCGCTAACAGCATGCTGCGTACCATGCGTAGGAGGTAGGTGCTTTCCAGACTTCACACATGATACGGCCTGGAGAGAAGAATCGAAGAATCTGAAGTTTAAATTGATTTCTGGCACCAACTCCGCGAACAACTCTACACCAAGGATATTTGGCTTCCAAGCGTATTAACCAAACACAAATATCCCCCGGTTGAAAAGACGAAAACACCTATCTGCAAATTTAAATACACTATAAAGCAAAGTGTCTTTACAAACACTTATGTTATAGCCAATGGGTAAAATATGTATAATGTATTTTTCCAACTGTACGTGTATTAGGAAGAACAATACATCTCCCACCCTATAAAGTGTATATATTTTTGATCAGCATTAATAGCCAAGTCGAAATAGATATTTACGTCGGTATGTAGAACTATTGTTGTTGTTGCGGCAGCTAGCGCAAGTTTCTGTGATTTGTAATAATAACATTTCATTTGCGATTGTATAGTTTTCTGTGCCGTTACTTTAATCTTTCATATACTCTTGCAGAGGGTATTACAATTTTGTTGTGAAATGTGTAGCAAATAGGCGGTATCTCCGACCCCATAATTTGTATATATTCTTGATCAGTATCAACAGTCATGTTCGTCTGCGAACTAGTCCCTCAGTTTTAAAGCTTTTTTATGAAACTTTGCATACTTTTTTCTTTCTGCACGCATCACATTTGTGAAAACCAGCGGGATCGGGCATCTATATCATTGCTGCTATACGAAAGATCAGGCGAAAATTAAGTTGTATGAAATAAAATTTAGTTTGACTAAAAATAAATTGTATAAAAGGGTTCTGTTCATCAAGATATCTTGACAAAATTCGGTCGAAAACATATGGAAAACATTGTTTATCGGCATTAACTATTTTACCTGTACTTCTTAGATACGAGTAAAGCACTATGAGCATTATGAGAGTTGGGTGTGCAAGGGTATAAGAACTTTAGCGTGCCGAAGAGAGCCTTTCTTTCTCTTTAGAACTCAATTTTTGGTTTGGCTGTTGAGTAGAAGTGCTTGCAAGCAGTGCGGTCTGTGTGAATGTGTTTTTTATTACATTATTATTATTACTGCTGAAGAGGGTTCAGGGTATCCCCCAGTCAGGATCGCCCGACTAGAGCCCCTTATTTGATTGGTTCCGTTATGATCCTCATCTACATGTATGTATGAATATAAACAGTTGGATCTTATGTGGAAAAAAATACAAAATTTTGTTTATTTTACCTGTATATTCTGAAACGTTGGCATCCACATTTTCTGTTGCAATTCTGTTCGATAGGCACGAGTAAAACAACCTACATAGGAAATAAAGCACGATATAAGCAGTATGTCTCCAGGTAGCTGTCGTATACCCAAAGTTATACTATTCGAAAAAGAGGATTATTTTATATTTCATATATTAATTAACACCAACATTTCTCACCTTTTTACAGACTCTGTCCAGCGAACTTTCTCTGTGGCTAACCCACCAATTAACCGGTTTGCTATATCGATTGTAAACGCAGTTTTATCTGCTTCATCTTGACACTTTTGTTTCTTTGCCATCGCTTCATCGAATTTCATTTGGAGAATATTCAACTCTTGTTCAAGCTCATTAAGTCGTTGATTTAAGGCTGTTAGCTTATCTCTGGCATCGTTTAATTCCTTTTCAGCTTCAACTAGAGCACGTTCTTTGGGTTCGACCACAAGATAAACATCATAGAATCGGTTTATATTGATAACCCATGAGCACAAGCCAGCAGCTGCAGATGACTTGGAAATTATTTTTTCTGGATTAAATTCAGGATCTAGAATATAAGGTTGTAATGCCTTTATAACATCTGGGTGAATATGTTTTTTATCGTAGTTAATTAAATTGTCGAGGAATTTGTCAACATTTCCCATCATACCACGGGATGCTTTCCAGCTTCGGTCCTTGGGTATTTTTCCATTGACAGAAAATAGTACTAATACAGCTCCACATACACTAACGACAGCATCCGGTGGTGATCCAAACGATTTTAGCTCCGTTAAGTTATTCTTATTTAGGGTATTTAGCGCTTCCTGGGCAGCAAGAAGAGCTGGTTGAGCCTTACGAAAATCTTCCTCACATAGTTTGGCTTTTGCGCCTACGTCTTCCTCAATCTGACGAACATTCTTTTCCTCCTTAGTAGCATAAGCACGTTCCTTTGACACCTTTTCATTCTCTGTGCTAACGACGACAATAAGATTATCCGCCTCCTGATTTTTAACTTTCAGCTCGACTTCTTGCAATTTGAGAACATCCTGTAGTGCATCTACTTCATTCGTGCAACTAGCCAGTTTAATTAAGCCATTTTCTAAGCGAGAACGACGTTCTAAATTTGCATTGACCTTTTCATATAGCAGCTTAGAATATAGCGAAATGAGCTCAAGAAAAGATTTTGGCGTAGTATAGTTGTACCGTTTTGCGTTTGCTAGATAAAGCTCGGAAATATCGTTTACAGTCTTATGTACATATGCCATGAACTTAGCTACAGGAGGCGCCAATTCTATTGGAAGAACCGTAATCTCTGAGAGAAAACGCATTGATACAGACTCAAGTGCCTGCTGTGGCCACTCATGAAACCAATCTATTGTAGTACAGTTAACAAGGGCAGGAAATTTTCTTGAACGTACACGAAGAGTTGCACCTACAGGGGAAAAACATAGCACAACCTTGAGAAGACTACGCACTTTCTCAATAAAATATTTCCAGCAGTTCTCTCGACTGTCAATAATGCCAAGTTGCTTGACTTCATTACGCACAGCTCCAATCACGTTTTCCATTTCATCATCAGGAAAAAGTTCATGTATATCACCAGATGCGAGAAGATCGTTAACAAGAACTAAAAATTGTTCACGTGCCACCTCAGAATCAGTCATTAGAAAGCAACATGCTGTGCTCTTGACTCCTGCTTTTGAATACAATACAGCAATATTAGTTTTCAAATCATTCACACTATAATCCTTTGTAAGCTGAATCTGAAAAACGTCCAGAGAAGATATAAAGGCCGCTAGGCGAGTAAGAGATTGTTTTCCTGAACCGCCAACTCCAATGAGTAGGGCATATCCTCTGGAAGATTCTAATATTCGACTTATCCTGCACACATGTGACATGGCGTCATCAAAAAGAACCAAGTTCATGGCACCTACATAGTCATTGTAGCGCAGCTGAGCTTCCTCCAACAAGACTTTCAGACGGTCCCAATTTTGTATAGGCATATATTTAATATCTGAAAGTCCTTTCGCAAAGTGACAATATATATGAGGCTGCGCATAAACAATGTCCTCACTTACACCTTCAATTCCTTTTCGTACTACCTCAACAACAATTTTCTTAAAATTTCCTATATCAGTTTGGTCGACCAGCTTATCACCATATACACGGAAACATTCGTGAACCCACAATCGTATCAGTTGATTAAAAGTGGGGCATGTTTCGTTATTAGCATAAAGAACACCCTAGGAGAGATTTATTAGATTAGTACAATACAAATTCTTTAACTTACCGTAAATATGTTGGCAAGGTCCCGTAAATTAAAGTTGTAGTGAAACTTCATAGCTGTGGGAAGAAACGACCCGACCACCTTTAAATGTAAGGCAATTGCTGTATTGACAAGTGCTGTACACTCTTTGATAATGTTCTTATCAAACTTATGTTGTGGATTTTCCAAATGCTGAGAGAGTATTGAGTTAAGAATGTGGAATAATGCGTCTTGGCTGGGTTGACTGTGAAAGAAAAACGTACGTCATTACTGTATTTATTGTTACTTATAATAGATACATGACTTACTTAACTGCAAAAGAGCAAAAGTGTCTTTGTAATCTTGGATTAATAGTAAAGGAACCTGCTGAAGGATTCATGCATGCCACAATATTGCATTTATGTATATCTTTCAATGTCATTTTAATCCGATCATACCAATGGTGATAATCCATGAACTGCCTGATTAAAGTATGTGGTTGAACTGTAAAATACTTATCGACTTCGGGCATATTCATATCATCAACAAAGTATATCATTTTTTTGTTTCCTATAGGGCCATAATTGCGACCTGCCTTCTTTTCAAGTGGCTTTTCTAGTATTCGCTGCAACATTTCTGATGTAGTATAAAAGTTGAATGGGACATTGGTTACAGCAAATTTGTCTGTGGGTAAAGTGCTTAATTTAGCATTCATCAATATTGTCTTGCCTGATCCAGAGGGCCCAATGAGCATCAAAGGATGATCTGCTTCAATTAAAGTATCCATGAAAAAGCGAAGCCGGGTTGTCTCCGCCGAATTAACCAAATTTGATTGCAGCGGAAGATCAGGATCAAGTTCAAAGTCTGGTACAAGATTAGTCCATGGTAAAAACTTTTTGCTTTCATTATGAATATAGTAGGAAAATATATTCCCTGATGATGGAAATTTAACGGCTCTATATTCATTTTGAAACCATTTGCTGAACTCATTGCGCCAATCAATAATTTGATCTTGAAAAAGCGGTGATCCAAAACCCCAAATAACACTAAAGACAAAGTATATTTCATACCAATCTTTTGGGCAGTCATGCGGTACATTTTGTGGGGTGAGCATACTGTCTAATAAGAAGCAAGTCATTTGTAACCGTGCAATATCAGAAATGGGAGTGATGCTTTTAAGTCGGCTTCTGAACAAATCAAGGAGTGGTGGTATGTATTTATCAAATAAAACGTTAAGTGTAGCTACTTCACTGGCGTTGGTTCGTGTACCCAGCCAAGATTGAATAAAGGGTGTCCATCCCAAGTCCTGTGGATTTATATAAAGAATTCCAGCCCGTGATACTGTAGCTGGGGTTGCCGTTCGCAGCGATGCAATCTCAAAAAGTAAACGCATCTCTTTAGTTAGCGCAATTCGCTCATTGCTAGCCAAAGTTAGGACTTTGTTATCATCCATCACAGTGTTTAGGCTTTCAATCCACATAGGATCAATGTCACCATCCAAAACAATCCACTTTGGACCTGTACCACCCAAATTAGCTTGATCACGCATTAAAATTGAGAACAAGCCATCCTTCCATTCGCGTGTTGCTGGATTGACAATTCCAAACAGCTCATCATTTGTCACTGCTTTTGGATTAAGATCATTGTAATGCGGCTTCCTCTTCTGATTATGATATGTCTTGTTCAGCGTTTTCCAAACCTCAGACTTTCCAGTTCCTGCGAATCCAATTATAAATACAGAATGGCGAACTGCAAATAATTCTTCAAGTTGAACTATCTTTAAAATGAACCCATCCTCTGGTTGCAGTTTTAGGTCAATCGCCGATCTCTTAATAACTGCCTCAAATTCATAGTTGCGTTTTCGAGGTACATCCAATGCTGGAAATAAGTCGCCTATAAGACCCATAAACACCGGAAGGTCATCTGTTACAATCTTCGGAATATTAAAATCACGCAATGCCCGCATAAGTACTTGATCCTCAGGACGCTGTCGATCGTCTCGCTAAAAACAATACATTTATCTCTTAATATATAGTCTAATTCGTTCACTAAATCCGCACACTATCGATATCAAAAGCGTACGGAGAGCTACAAATTGAAAATATTGCAAGCCAAAACAGATTAATAAAAGAATTCTTATAATACAATACCTTTGTATACACGAAAAGCTATAAGAAAAACAACATTATCTGATTTTGAGGCTTTTTCCAACAATTTTATTTTGCATGGAAATGATCGAACGACTCGAAGTGGTGGGATATTAATTTTAGTACGCCTACTGATGCAGAGATTGTCTAAGTTGTTTTATCCTACATAATATCTATATTTCATAATGATATGTTCCTCCTTCTGATATTCAATTTTATATGAAACATATAACTTGTATTTACGAAGTTTCACACACGTGCCGGTGTTGGAGGATTTTAATTTACCTAACATCTTTTGGTTATTATGCACTGCATGATTTTATAACTCGGCCTCGCAACTTTCGCTCTTCGCCGCCGAATTAAAGTTGCGCACTCGAAGGCAGTGTTAAGCAAATGATCAGCAACGAAGGTTTGCTAAGACGGCCGGCGGTTAAATTCCAACTATGAGAGGCTCCTTGCCCTTATCTAACGTATTCTATGGTTATTCAGTTACGTCTGCTGCGTTCGCTCTACGTCTTCGGCCATCTCTTGGTAAAACGGTTTCAGCTGTGAGACATTGGCCACCCGCTTCCTTTGTTCTCCTGGCCTTACCAGACGCACAATGTTAGGCGACACGAATTTGGTGAGCGGCGTTTGACAATTGGAGTTTTCGTCAAAGGACCATCGATTCCAATGAAGGCTGCCACTCTTGTATTCGGAGGTTGTTGTGTCTGCCCTGGTCCTTTGATGCAAGATGGAGATTAATGTGGACGATATAAAATATTTTTTTTAACTTATCCGCGGCTCGCTACCCAACATCAGGAAAGCTGGACTGAACCCTGACACGTGAGGCCTTCTTTTGACTTCTCTCCACTCTGTTGCCGAACAGGTACTCCCCTTGCACGACCTGGGAGGCCTTTTTTCGGTTGCTGCTTGTTGTTTTCTCAATTCTGTTGTTGCCTAGTAGGTGCTTCCCTACCTGACCTGGGAAGCCATCAGTCGGCCTCTCGTTCGTTTCCTTTATCGTGGTTGCCGGGCAGGCACTGCGCGATGGCTACCAGCTCGTCCTTGCGCCGCTGGTGTATACAACGCACGTCTACCCTTGGGTTGTGGCACTCACCTGATTCCATAATGATTTCCCTCTTATATGGACTGTAGCTTGTGCTGTAATCCGTGGACACACTTCTCGTTCCGTGAAATTACGTGTTTTTAATGTTTCTCAACTCCTCCCACTTCGAAAAGGCATTATGGAACACCAATAGCATTGTGTTGCAATGTTTTGAGCGTGGAAGGGGCCCGAACGAAATCTGCCCATTTTCTTCTCTGTAATCTGGGAACTTGGCTGGCTCTTTGGCGATCCTGGCATGCATACTTGCAACCCATTCAGAGGGCTACCAGTGCTTGATGACAGGTCTCTAGAGGACGCCTCGATAGTACGTCGGCCACGACATTGAGCTTCCCTCGACGGTAGTGAACGTCAAATTGGAACTGTTGTTCCAGGATCCGCGGGATCCTTCCTCAAGGGCTTTGGATCGATCCAAAGCCACGTGGATCCGTTACCCTTGTAGGTGGCAATGCAACTTCCGGATCGACCATACAATTGCTAACCACTCTTTCTCGTTGGCGGCATAGGTCACCTCAGCTTTCAGCATCTTCCGAACCGCGCTCGCTATCACCAGCTCCTGTTCCTTTTTAAATCGGTCTGTTTTCCTTCCCCACAAATTAAATGTCCCAGGAAGACCAACCTCTCCCTGAAGAACCTGCACTTCATATTCAGCCTGAGATTAGCCTCCCTTAATAAGCGTAATACCTCCCATTCTTTCAATGCCCCCATTACCATAATATGGTCTATTACCGTGTCCTAGGTGTCGTGCCTTAAGGAACCACGGACTGCTTGGAATTATCGCAAAACCGCTATGAAAATAAGGCCATTATTATTCAATCTCACATATATGAGCTATTTAATATGAAACCTTTCAATTATGTAGACTGGGAGTCTGAGAGTGTAGACAGTATAATTGGCGGCTCTTAAATATCTCGAGAGTGGCCATTTTTATTGAAATTTTTAATAAATAGAGGTATGACCTTGGCCAATCGAGAATCTCTGCGGAATGAAGGAAACGAGCTTAGCTGTAACTAGCCGCAACATTGGCAAGTCGTGTTACATTTATGCTATTCCTATTTAAAGAATTAACGCCTTTGTGGCGATTTTAGGTTTAGACATGTAACAAGGAGTTGCTACATCCAACGGTGTGCCATATGCAAACAACTTCATCGTAATGTCTCCGATAGCGTAAGTAACGGTCTTCATAATGGCCAATCACAGTATACGAAACTGTTTTTTAACACTTATTATAGTTTACGAAATGTTATAATATTGCTCAGCAGTCAACTCGAAATAGCTGTACCCAGAAAGTGTGCGGATGTCAAGACGTCAAGATCATTGGGATGCTATGAAAGTGGAAGTAATGGACGAGAATTAATAATTGCCGTGATGTGGCAGACGAGCGTGCGCAGCGAATCGAAGTCCAAGATGGAAGGGCCGACAGAGCGATAAAAATGGTGCTTCGCAGTCTTCACATCGGCTTCCCATAGCCCGCCAAAGTGTGGAGAGCGAGGATGGAACAACGACCATTCAATTGAATCGGATAGGCAAAACTCGTGAACAGCTTTGACATGCTCGTCACTCAGGAACAGGTGGCTCAAATCTGCCAGCTCATTCTTAGCGCCTACGAAGTTTGTCGCATTGTCAGACCAGATCCTTGAAGGTCGAGTGCGAGTCAGGATGAACCGTTTTAGGGCGTTTAGAAACGATATTGCAGACAAATCCTTTACAAGTTCTAAGTGTACTGCCTTTGTAGCGAAGCATATGAACAGGCTAATGTAGCATTTCACGGGAGCCCTGTTGCGGACTTCGCTTTTGTAGAAGAATGGTCCACAGTAATCAACGCCAGTGACCATAAAATGATACGATGTGTCGAGACGATCAGCTGGTAGATCTGCCATTATATGCTCTGCCAATCGTGGCTTGACACGAAAACAGATTGTACATTTGTCAACAATGCTAGAGACTGTTTTACGACCGCCAATGCGTGGCGCTATCTAGCTTTTGCAGCAGTGTGTGTACTATGATGCAGCCGGCGATCTGTTCCACACTGCCCAAAAATGAGAGTTGAACTTATCTGAGAATTCGCGCAGTTGTGTCGTCGCACCCTTATCCACCTTTATTAAACCCAAATTTTCAGCAATATGTGCCTGAAAAACAAGAAGCTTGTTATTAAAACGCTTATCAAGCAGTTCTAAAGCGGCAGCATAATTAGCGTTTGACATTTCCAACGAGCGAATTGTATCCAGCGCTGTTCCTCTGAAGCATGACCGTAGATGCTGAAGTTTTTCAATGTTGGTCAAATACGGATCCTTATCAATGACCGTGGTGAACATATTCGAGAAGTCAGACCATTCTGTTTATCCTCCACTAAACTCTGGCAATTTAAGTTGAGGCAATCGAGAGTGGTTTGGAACAACAAAAGTAGAGCGCGGATTATCGGCTGTGGCGGAATTGAAAGTGGAACAATGTGGAGTCTGCTGAATATTGCTTCGATTTCCGCGCTCGCGTTAAAGGGACACTCGTAGCCGCCTAATGGTTGACTCAAAGCTTGACTGAAGATCCTCTTCAACGCTGGCCTGACTCACATCCAACAAACTATCATAGAATGTTTCAAATTTCGCCTGTAAGTCAGATGCCATGCATATGTAATCTTGCAGCTCGTAGTCATCAACATCGCGAAGTCGCACGGGATCAAGTTCAGAAGACAATCTATTGACTCGATCACTTAAATTCTTAATCTTAACTTTAAGAACTGCAGCCTGTGTTTCAACCGCCACTTGATTAGTAGATGTCGCCTCATTTTCATTTGAACTTGCAACTTCATCAAACATTGTTAACAAACACAACAAAGTTCACACAGCCGAACTACAATACAAAATTTGCGTGCACAAGTGTTTGTTCGAGCGAGATAGCGTATAGCTGGTTAAAGCGCGCGACGATTAACGGCGATTTTTCTACGGCGTCTATGTACAACGACAAACTGTATGCATATGCACAATCAAGCGGTTAAGTACAGTTATCAGAGAGACTTGGTTAAATTGATCACTTTATGTTGAGGCTCGCAGCAGTTGACGCACAACTTTTTGTAAATAAGCGCAATGAAATTATAAAATGAAATTATAAACAAAATGCGTACAGAAGGGAAACGAAAAAGTAATAAAGAAAAATCACGTCGGGGTCACCAAAATGTGTAGTTACAAGCCTTTTTGCAACTAATTAATTAGCACTGCTTTGTGTGCAACAAAATTCGATGTTTTATATTTTGTTTCAAATGTATTTATTTACCGCACAGGGCACTTATTATAGCTAACGAAATGTTATAATATTGCTCGGCAGTCAACTAGAAATAGCTGTGCCTTGCTTGCGATCAAACGAAAAACTAAACTATATGCAAAACGAACTAAATTGAGCTCCGCTCAGAACGATGGGCAGCGGGCGTCAATGCAGGATGCAAAGGGGCCGATGAAGAGAGAAGGCAGCAACTTACAAAGAGCAAACATCATTTGCTCTTAAGCTGTATTTATGATTATTGTCTTCTGCTGTTACTGCACGCAGCCGTCGCTGTTATCTCTACCGGTCACTTGATTAAACAGTCACTAATGCCGTTGTTGCGCTTTTGAGCTTTTTCAATAGCTTTCACAAAGGGAAATAATTAACCTTATTTTATTTATTGTGTTCCAATTTGTTTCTATATTTCTTAAAGTTACGAAAAGAAGGTAGCTAGAGTTATAATTTTGAGTAATGCAAGTGGCCGATGTGTACCAAATG